CAGAAATGAAGTAACATATCCACATATGACAATAAAAATATATGATCCAAAAACATTGAGAAGCGCCCATTTCTTCAACACGTCCATCTATTGACACTCATGAGGAGTAACACTTCCCACTGTTCTCCTCCGTCTTTTTACATTCTATTTCTTTTTTCGGGCCCTGGGGCATTTAGGCTCCACAGCACCGCATATATCCAATTATACCGCGGCTCCGAGCACGGAGGTGACACATCGATTGACACAAGCGACATCCAGTCTTATCACAGTGACATGATGCAGTGCCAGGCAAGCATCATTAGCCTGATCAGCCAATAGAAGGGCGGCTCGTTAGACCCCCCCGAGGGGCCGGACATGCACTTCTGATTCTAATACAGATATTCTAAGACAAGGAAGAGGAGTGATAAAGTGACGGAGGAATTATAAACCTCGCAGGCACAACTTTACGGCACTTGTGTGTATGCAATTCCACTGGGTTGATGTTGGGCGATCACACTTTTCCTGCAGCCACAGCTAAAAAAAAAAACCCTGTACTTTCCTCAAAGCAAACCTCCAAAAAAACCCCAAACATGGCTGTGTGATGATACTGCAGGCAGCTGTTGAATCTTTAAGGAGATATTTAAGTGTTCAAGCCACCAGATTATGCCATCCTTCAATCATATGGATATGTTTTAGCTCATGTGACAGTCTGAACCGCTACAACAAAGAGAGTGAGATTATTTCAAAGTGTGCTTTTGGGATAGGTTGTGCCCTGAGGACAAAACATCCTCCATGGAACTCTTTTGGCCCATTTCTGATCTACCTGTGGTATTTATAGGCAAATGTTCTCATATCGCTATGCTCCACTTATAAGTCCTCTTTTGCCAAAAAGGTACTTTCAAATACAATACGAAAACTTTCCATAAGCTTTTCCGCAAGAAAGAAGGGAAGCATTCCATATTTATTTCCTCCCGCTCGCCCTCCGTCTTTATTTTTAAAGTTGATTGCATTTGCTGGTTGAAAGAGCTGTCCGCCTATTACGATTTAAAGTCCACGCATCTGTTAAAAGCTGAAACTATGCCAGGCACCGTGTGCTTTTGTAGCCAGCTAACCCCTGCTCAGCACCTGTTGGCCGGTCCCAGCCAGCTCCTGCTACTTAATCCCATTTACAGAGACAGCAGGTTCAATTATTCAACGCTCCAATGAAAATTCCTTCAATATTCATAAGACATTCTCTCACATCCACCAGTGGTCTGTGCACGTGGTACATTTCTATATGTGTGGATCTGTGTGTTGCTTGTTTATTCCAAAACCTTAACTCATCATTGACGTCATGTCAAAGTGAATAGCGCCATTGTGCGGCCGCTTTCTATTTCCCCCTCCCCTCCGGGTTTCATACTTTCGAGCAGAGACATCAGTCAATAGTGGGCAAATGGTGTTATTATTGTTGATTTTCTACTCAGTAGAACATTGTGGACCATAGGAAACACAGCTTACCCCCTCCTCTTTTTTTTTTTTTCCTTTCTCCTCATTCTTCTTCTCGCTCCTCTGCTCAACAAGCAGAGGAAAAATGACTACAGGGCGAATGCCATGTTTATTTTCTCTTAAATATTGAAAGAAGCAATACTGCCACTGCGTTGTCATTTATGTAAGCAGTTAGCCAGATATGGTTACAGCCCTCTGAGCACGCCTTGAAAAATAAATTAGGGGACATGGGGTTTAAGCAGGAGCGGAGGGTCTGTTGGAATCATCGCACTGACAGAGAAATTCATCACTAAATCTATCTATGCAATTACTGATGTCAGCATCAAACCGGCCGACAGTGTTCCGGCTTCAGTCTCCGCTTCTTTCTCTCTGTTTATTTACCATGTTCCTGACTGTAGAACAATGCAGCGACCTTTGCAGAGATAATTCTGTTACGTAAGTTGAGTAATTGCTCTGGATGTGGAAGAGGAGTGTCCGAGTGCTCTTCTTGCTTGGCCCAAAGCTCCTCTGTCCTTGGATTTAAATGAAAATGTGCAGCATTACAAAAAATTAAAAAAAAATCTTGGTCCACTCAGAAAACAGAAGAGGAGGAGAGGAATAGAAAAAATATGAAAAAAACAGGAGGATGGATATGAGATGACAAGGAGATGGAAATGAGCATGACAAAAGCAGTGAGCCAGAACCAAGCAGGATAAAAACGCTAAAAAAAGAAACCCACCCCTAACCCCCCCATTTTTTCTCTAAGCAGCGCGGGGCACGACATGTACCTCAAGATTGTCCAAGTAACTCTGAAAATGGCCTGTATGGTGCAAAGAGCCCTGCAAATTTCCTTCCTGCCTTGTTCCCATAAGTAAAGGTGCGCAGTCACAAAGTGCAGGCTGCAGGGGAACACACGAATAAATGGAAGCAGCGTGGATAGTTCTTGCCTGCTGAGGTGCCCTCTTTTTTTCTTTTTTTTTGCCACCTGGAGACCTGTTGGCTACAATAGAGAAGTGCAGAGAGGGCACGGAGGGACGACGTTAACAATCAGCAAAGATGAATTTTCGAGCGGCTCTGCTGGCAGAAGTGCTCACTTTACTTTGTTCAAGTTTCTTCATTTGGACAATGGGTAGAGACGGAGTCAGGGAGGCAGACAATTACTGATATTTGCTGCCAGCTATCTGAGAGGGAGAGACCGAGAGAAAGAGAGGGAGAAGCTCCACTCCCACATTGTTAATTAGAAACTCTCTCTCCCTCAGCACTATGCTCGCTGAATGAAAGACAGTCGCCCGGTCGCGCAGAACACACACACGCTAGACTTTGTTCGTTTTTTATCAAGCTACTTCAATCGAAACAATAAAATTGTTGGCAATACGACTGCATTGTAATACACTGGATTGTGCATTGTTTAGGAGATTGCACAATATTCTCTCTGTGATCAATAACTACAGTCAGTGAATGGGGCTGTGGGTTTGCACAGAAGGATATATAAAGACGGAGGGAACGACAAGAGGAAAAGCAGTGGAGGAAAATAACAGGAAAGCTGATTTCATGCTCGGGGGATTGCATCTCATTTTCTCCCAACGTGGAGGGACAGTGTGCGGTCCAGCTTATGGATTTACTGCCACCTGGTGGTGCGGGACGCCGCCGCCGCCGCCGAGCTCCTGAAAACCCTCACAGGAACACAACAGGCTGTCATCAGAGTCAACATCTTTAAGATTGGGTCAATCCAAGAGAAGTAAACTAGACCCCTTATCTCAGGCAGACGGTGTCATGTAGACTGTACGTGCACTTTCTGCAATGTAAACAGAGCTCCACTGCAGTGAAGCATTCCCAAACCGAGCCGCCTGTTTGCCTGACGTTACCTCTTTATCCCTCTTCACCTCCCTTCTGTATTTACTTTCTTGCTTCCAGCACAGAAAATAGAAAGAAAAATTGCTTAAAAAGTGCACCAAAGAAGAAGGAAACTCAACTACAAAGTTCCAATTACGACCAACGCCGCTCAGTTAAGGATACTATTATATGCTTGGACAGTCCGGTCAATACTAGTGGACATCTATCTGCAAAACCAGGAACAGGAGAACTAAGCCTTAAACCTGCCGAGTCACACAGACGTAGAATAAGTGACTATGTAAGCTGTTGTGCTTCAACAAGAAATATGTCGGTGTCGATATGAAATCGATGAAACCTCCTTCTATGTCATCCCAAGCAACGCCAGGGGGAGAATTAATGAGGGCCTCTCATCACTAATTAACACATAAACGCAGAGCTACCATCGCCGAGCGAGAAGCGGCGTCGGCTGCTTGCCTTGCGCGGAAAATATTGTCGATCATTTCCGAAGACGTAAAAGAGGAAAGTGAGAAGGAGAGGCAACAAAATGAAAAAAAAAAGCAAGCAAGAGAGAGGAAACTAAATTGGGATTTAAGAGATATGAGGTCATAGGCAGCAGCCGGGTCTAACATGAGAAAGGTCTGGAAGATTAGGGGACGCCAGCGCTCACAGATAGCAGCTCTCCTAACAGCTTCCACCACCTCATTAGTCTAGCCCAGCAGCACTGTGCCCCCACTATTAAACGCTAAATGAAAGACCGCCAGCCGTGATTACTGAGGGGAAGTCCCCTGTCGTCATGGGGATAAGAGATCCCTCCTCACACACACACGCAAACACACACTTCGACCTCTGCGACAGCCATTTGAGGCGCGTTCATGACAAGGCGATTGAGGCAGAAGTAGATATTTTACACATCATCAGTCACACAGCCCAAAAAAAACGTGAAAGCTTGGGACATCAAGCAAACCTGTTACGACAAATTGCCTGCAATGCAGCAAAAAGAAAAACACCCTCAACAATTGCCGGCGTCTCTCGGTTGCTTCATTTAAAGATCACATGATGCTTTCAGCACCACTTTCGTGCAGCAAATCTGACAAAGGCTTAATAAGCACGAGTGAAACTGCCTCCGGAGTCCTTGAGTCAAGGATATGGCACTCAGTGTTGCACAGAGGACGGGATGGTTTCATGGGTGTAGCCAGTTTAGGTGGATGCAAGTGTGTGTGTGTGCAGTTTTTTTAGGAGTGTAAATAACTGCATGTGTGTTTTTATGCAGTACTGTACACATGGTATAGGTTGTGTGATGTAAGTGTGATATTGTGCAGCTGTGTTAAAGGAGCACTCCATCAGTTTTAATGTTGCACTTCCACATGGTTAAAAGGATCAAATTGGTGTGAAGGTGTGCAAACTTACACCTCCAATCTTGCACTTCCCATAATGCACCTCAGTTTTCATTAGACCCTTCGCCACAAATGAACACCCCTGTCTTTCAAATCCTGTATTCCCACTTTGTAACACAAGTTTTCCTCTTTTAAAATAAACTTGTAGTCTTCAAATCATGTCCCTTCGGTAATTTCCTCAGTATCCCTCGAGAGCCTCAGAAGATGTTTCCTCTTAGTTCAATCGCAGCTTTAAAAAAAATTGACTTTCACACGTTAAAATCCGTGGAGTGCTCCTTTGATGCACATGCAAATCACATCCATTAAAATCTGAAGCCCAGCGGAACTCACGGTCGTTGCAGTGGGTCCCCGTGTAGGACGTCATGGAGCAGTCGCAGGTGAAGTTCTCCCACTGCTGGATGCACACGCCCATGTTGGCGCACGAGTCCTCCTGGCAGGTCGTGCTCGGGCCTAAAAAAATGGAAAAAGGAAAAAGGCGAGCGGGAAGAAAGGAAAACAGAAAGAGATACCACAAGTGCACAGTCAAAACAACGAGAAGAAGAACCACCGCTGAGTCTAAACAATGCAGGACCCATGCAGAAGAAATGCACTCTAGAGAGACAAGTTTTTTTTTTTTACACCATGTGGGCCTAGAAGAAAGAACAAGGAGCAAACAGTGCCACCACAGGAAGCCTGACCTGTAGTACAATGCATTTAAAACTGTCTGAGGAATCCGGTTTCATGCTGGGTAAAGCTGCAATCGCACTGGCAGAGACGAAGCAGAGGCGCCAGGGTTTTGTTTTTTTTCTTCAGCACGCTTTTTCAAGCAGAGCAAGCATCAGCGTATACTCTGAGTTAATTACTGTAAAAAGTGCTGTAAAGGACGCCGGGTTGAGAGTGTGCAATATACTCTAATCTGCATTTAAGGCATGCTTCTGCAGACAGGCTGGACCCCAGCTAGGCTGATGTGATGACACTGTCAACATCCCTTAATTTCCTTCTTATTTTTCTTTTTGAGAGTGTGTGCAGGTGGACTTGCATGCAGTTTGTATCATTCCAACATGTTTGAAAAAAGTTTTATCAGAGTAAAACTTAGCACGCTGCATTCCCTCTGTAAACAAGCAAGACAAGACGCAAAAATAATAATAAAAAAAATACCTTCTAGCAAATGACTCATGGTTTAAAGACGCCATTTAGCAATACCAATATATGTTTTTTTTAAATGGCATAAAAGTGGCCCTGGTAATTTTCTTCACAAATATTTGTGCGAGAATACAACGGTGAACAACCAGACAGACGGGATTCATGAAGAGAAGAAAAGAAAAATAAAGCGCACTTGAGAACACGTCGTGCATATCCTCGTGTATGCACTTCAGTCAGACAGGAGTTGAGGAGGGTATTCAAAGTCAAACTGGATGTGTGTTTGCTATTCCTCTACACCACACATAGCTCTTACTTTTGAATACTTATACTGAGAGGGAATGCAGATAAGGACAAGCGCACAGCATAGATAACGAGATAAACAATCCCCCCCCCCCCCCCCCCGCCCCCCCGTGAGAGTCTAGACAGACAAAGGGGAAAAAACCTTGACAGTAACCCTTCTGGTAACCATATAGGAAACAAACAAAAAATTAAATAAACAGTCCAAATATATGGCAGACAAATGCAAGTAAACATTGTTTAAGAGCAATTGTCTTGTGCAAGACAGTGTGAAGAGAAGAAGACATTTGAAGTGGAAAACAGAGTACGTTTGCCAGCTGAAAGTGCATTTACTGTGTAATGTACAGTAACGGTAGTCGACCAGGCGTCCCAGACACTGTGTGCACACAAGTGCTTCATCAATGCAAATCTAATGTATGTATGCACACATTAGCGCTCATTTGTTAGGATGAGTAATGGAGGTTTGTGGCTGTGTTTCAGTGTCGCAGCAGGAGGCAGCTTGCTCTCTGAAAAAAAAAAAAAAAAACAACAAAAAAAACAAAAAAAAAGAAAAAAAACATTCGTCTTTGTGAAGCAGCAGATACGATGGTTTTTTTATGACAAAATGAGAGACAGAAAGAGAGAGGCCTGATCCATCAGCAGCACGCTGACAGTGTTTAGATGTGCGGTGACAGCCTCTTTCTGCTGTCTATGCCAGCCTGCAATGTGTCACAACTGGCATTTTCATACAAGAACACAGTCCTCCCACTAACTGTCTGCCTGTGCTTTTAGCAGTGCTTTTAAACTACCTACATGACTGCCACATCACTTACCTGACCTGATCTGTTTACTCTCTTTAATTATACTGTGTGCTCAATTTCTCTGCAACACCATCAAACATGTCTACCCTCAGTCTAGCAGCTAAACATGCTAAAACAGACGCAATCCGCCAGATTCCATCACGTAGAATCTAAAATAGCATGATTACATTCAAACCGCTGCAGTGCTGAAGCATGAAATCGCAACAACTGTGCAATAATCTTCCACTTATTTCTTTTTTTTTCTGCTTGCCTATTTGGAAACTTTTCCTGCCAGCAGTCTCTGTCTTATTTGTTTTGTTTTTTTTTTTTCTCAGAGAGCAAGTCACCTCTGCAGCACTCGGAGACATTATTGCCATGGTGACACCCACGATGCATTGCACACAGCAGACTTTCAGGCGAGCAGGCCTCCGAGAGGCGGAGTTTAACCCTCTACCTTGCAGGTCGGCTTTGGTGAAACCAACTTTGTTAGCGCAGAAAGAAAATAACAAACAGAACAGAGCAGAGCGGAAAACAAGAGTAAAGGTTAGTGAGGGACCAGCATTGTTAGCGTTCTTAAAACTTGTACAAGTTTCACTTTGGCAACACGGAAACGTTGCTGAACTGTTAGTGAGGACTGAGCTCTGTTGTGGTGGGTTTTTTTATAAAGTAGGATGTTTGTGTTTGTTTTTGGCTTGTAAAATGATATCTAAGTGTTTGTGTAGGCTGCTGTGTTTGTTTGAACTTAATCTTCTGCTGCCCTCTAGAGGAGATATGTTGAACCCTGCCCCATATACAACATCTGCATGCATATATATGTATGTGCATTTTAACACAATTAAGAAATTGAAGGGAAAAAAAGTATTTGGAAAAAAAATTTAACAGGCAAATATAATAAAAAAATAATACTATTAAGTAATTTATTAAGCTCTAAATTTGTTCAATTAGTTTGGGGTTTACAATATATTATAATATAATAGAAAACGTTTATGGAAACAACATGAAGTCCAACATTATAGTCACACTAAAAGAGATGTAAAATATTAATTGTTTAACTGAAACCACCGCATCAGCAGCAGCTTATTTGTACTCTGCAACATTAACAAGTTAATTTTCCTTCATGTTAGTGGTTCAGGGACTGGAGAGGATTAAAGAAAAGGAAAGCAAATGAATGTAGGTAGCAGCTTGGTTTGAGCATATTCAAATTTCTTACCTTGTAAAATAATCGATAATTTAAGGCACCCTATAAACACATTCTTTTCTTTCTGAATTTTAATTTGACATTAGGGGTTTTTAGCACTTTCTAAAATATATTGATGCAACACAAAAAAAAGTTAACAAGCCATTATTAGAAAATCAGCATGACAAATTTGGACTATTATCCTATAATGTGACAAATACCTGGCAAAGAAAAAAGAGAATGAGGATTAACAATGCCAGCAAATGGCTTTAAGGGCTACTGAGGAGCCTTCTAATTAGACTAATAAATCTCACGCGGCAGGTCATGATTCTTAGACGCTACAGGCCATCTGTACCTTCGCAGCCTCGCTCAATCTGCCCGCTGCGGAAAAGGGCGTCGTTGATGAGGTCTGGCAGGCGGCCGTTCAGGTCGACTGACGCCAAGCAGCCCTGAAAGCCCTCCCGAGAAACCACCAGCTTGGGGAGATTCTGATACATGTTGGGTCCCAAGCCTCCGACAAACAGGTCACCTGAGAGAGGAAGACAAATGCAAGTGACTGTGTGATTACTATTCACCTCTTTTTTTTTTTTGCCAAGAGGTATATGAGAAGGATGATACCACTTGTTGCATCAAGCCTGGATGTTGAATTACGGAGCTGCAGGCAGCAACAGTTTAGCATTGCTTAGCATAAAGACACAGTTAGTCTAACTCCCAGGATGGAGACTGTGGATATGAGCCTGCCGTTTCCACTGAGCATTTCATGCAGCAGTGCAACTGTTTTCAAAATCCCCTTTGCTGTGGCAAACAACAACCTTCGAGCATCAACCTACGTGTCAAAAATGGCAAGTTTTAATTCAGATTTGGACCATGCAATAAGGCAATCCTGTATTTCACATCAAAATTCCCCCCAACACTGGTTTGCAGTGGGACCTTTGCTGTAGTTTTGCACAGTCAGACCTATAGTTCAGCAGGAGAATGGTCTGGCTGTGCCTTTTTATCATTCTGTTGTAGGAGGAAAACGGTCTCGCTTGTCTTTCTTTAATCCAGTGACAGTCATCTTGGGCGTTGCTAAGCCCAGGATGCAGTGATGGTGCCCCTGCTAAATAGAGACAGGGGCATTGTTGTTGTTGTTGTTGCTGTTGCCATTAAAATGAAGCAATAAAGAATGTCATTCACATTATATCTTCAATCCATTTGGTGAATATGAGCTCTTCCAGTTGCTTTCTTCTCTTCATCATACTATTCTCCCAGGCTGTCAATATCACTTAATTCTCAGCTTTAACGTCACTATTCTTGTCCAGCCTCAAAACCTTGTTTCTTAAATTCATTGGGGTTCTGTCCCTCTTCCTTCCAGGCTGTTGAACATGCAGCCTCCAGCTGTCCAGGACATCTTTGCTAGTCTCCGTCAGTCCATCAGCCATCTGCTAACTTTGCTGTATCACTACCTGAACTCTGGGGAGTCTGGTTTCTATCCCCGTGCGTAAGATATCGCATTTCACTGGAGTCTAATCCTCAAAACTCTTTGATTTAGTATGCTCACGTTTCCACAATTAACCGTTGTTCATAACCTTCATATTTTCTCTTCTTATTGAAACAGCTAATGAAATGAAAGAGGAGAAAGTCGCTAGAAGTGCATTGTGGAAACGGCAGACTTACACCCAACATTTGCATCTGGTGCATCATGGGTTTAGCAAGGTCCAAGACAACTGTGACTGGTTTAATGAAACACAAATGAACGCTTCCCCCCCTTATAGTCAGTCAGACCATTCTTTAGCCCTGACAGCGCTGTGCAGATAGGTCTACATGAAACTAGATCACAGTTAAAACATCTAGCTTGGCTTTGTCCAAATTCAACACCTATAAAGCACCTCTAAAGCTCACTGATTAACATTTCCAGCACATGTTGTTGGTTTAATCCAATAAAAACTAAAGCTTTAGCAGTAGAGAATGTGGAAAGTTACTGGTCTAGGCCAAGAAATAGTCCAGTACATGCAGAAACTCCCCATAACCCTTGTTTTAATTGCTGTCACATTGCACTAATTTGTAAGCTGAATGTTGTATTGATCCAAAAAAAAACAACAACTTGTACTTATGTCCTTGCATCGTGATGACATTGTTCTGGACCTTGGGCTGTATCTATAATTCATATAGGAACTTGATTCAAAGTACAGTATATCCATTATCAGGGAACTGAAGCACTGATTCGCTTCAACACTCTTCCATAATGTAATTATTAATCTTAGGGGAAGATAAAAGGTCATTTAAAGTCAAAAAGTTAACAACCAAGTGAGCTCACGAGTTACTGCTGCTGGGGCTTAAAGCCGAGCCGCAAGATCTTTCCTGATATCGAGTCAACTTTAATTTCCAAAAGCGAATGCCACGGTACCTTTAAGGTCGAGGTTCTTGGCCCCGTTGACATTCTGAGTGACCGACTTTGAGTCCACCTTGAGTGTGTGCGTGTTGGAGGCGTCTCTTGTGATGACCACGTTGTGCCACTGGTTGTCATTCAGTGGGTTGTCGCTGTTCCCTTTCAGCAGACTGGGCCCGTTCCCCAGGTCGAACACGTAGTGGATAAACCTGACGGAGAAGAAGCAGCAGATGCACACGTCAGGTTTTGTTTGTGTATTTTTTTGTGTGTGTTAGTGCGAGGGTGCAGGGTGTCTCTTGTTATTTTGCAAGTCTGATTAATTTTAATGGAAAAACCTCTCGCCATCACCTCACATTGCTCCGACACTAATCAGGAGCTAAACTGATACGAAAAACAATCTGCGCTGCATCAGGATGATATTTATGCTTCGACAAGCTCACAACAGGTGCAACAGAGATTTGGGATCAATAGTTGGGTTAGCGCTGTTAAATTCATAATGCCTGAGGAAAGCAGCTGCACCCCACATCAGCACTGCTGTTTTAAATGTATAAGTCAGCTCTGGACTCCAGCTAGTGAATAAAACATGGACCTGTTAGCAACATCTCACCCTTTGACCAGCTCCACAGCGATGAAGTCGTTCCCATCTCCGCTGTTGAAGATGATGAAACCGTCGGGCGAGGTGGTCTTGAACTGAAAGAACAGATGCATCTGGGTGTACGCCTGCAGCGTGGCCAGGCCCAGGTAGCTGCCCTTCGTCTTGAAGGTCACGGGGTCGGCGATGATGAAGCGCATGCCGAAGCGGGCGTTGAGCTCGCAGAAGTCGATGTCCCCGTTCTTGCACATGTCGATGTAGTACATGCCGTTGAATTTGAGGCTCTGGGGGGGGGAGAGTTGGAGAGAGACGGTGTTTCTATTAATAAACTGTGAATCATACTTTAACCTAAATGAACTCAGTCATAGTAGAGAAAGTTACCAAACGACAAAAACTTCAGAGTTGTGTTTTGAGCAGCCATACCCAGTAGGGTTGGATATCTTTTATATTTCACGATTCTGTTTATTGATTCTGGTTCCTAACAATTCCCGATTCTGGGTCTTTGAGAAGCAACAACAACATCTCAGCTTTTACATTATTGAATGAGTAAAAATAATCAATGATATAATATACCGTATTATAATAGTCACAGGAGCTTTACTTTCAACACTATAGTACAGTCTACTGATTATACCGTGTTACATTTACTATAAGCAATATTTTAAATGCAGAAATAAATGTAGTACTAGTTCTATTAGTTGAGTAAAGGACTTGAGGGCTTCTTCCACCACTGCTTATCTGTCTACGTCGGGATCCAGGTTACACATCCACAGCTGACATCCCCTCTAAGGAAGGTGGCGATGTACACTAGTGGCTTTATTGTGTGAAGTGTTCGGTGTGTGACAGACGTACCAACACATTGTTTCAGTCATTGTAAAGTTATTTCAGTTTGCCGTAGATAAACAGAACAGTTACTGAAAGGCAGTTTGTTGCTGTCACAGAGGAGAAATGTTCTTGTAATGTTACTACAGCAGCCTCCTGCATTCTTCACAGCAGACTGTGTGAAACGTTGCTTTCCACAGAAACACAGAGCTCGATAACTGTAGCAGTTTTTCTGCTTTCTTGAATATTTTGCATTTTATTTCAGCCATTTACTGCGGCGACGGAGGAGAGCAGTCGCGTCCTCGTAAATTGTTCTGCATCAGCATTTAATTCCTAAATTGAGGTTACGAGACGATCACACAGTTTGCGCTGTTTACCTGCTAATCACGGAACTCGATAGGAGCAGCTGAGTCGACTGAGCTGTTGCTATTGACTTATGATTTATTAAGACAAATGCATTAGAAAATAGGGGGACACACAGATGTTCAACACGCATGATGGATAGCAGTAGATAATCGCTGATACTGGAAGTACACTGTACTCTGAACTAGCATGAAGGAAATGTGCTGAAGAACTGATGAGCAGAATCTGAATTTAAACTTTCTTGGAAGTTGTTCTCAATGCCAACACTATTACTCAATAAACAAAATAAAAGGAAACAATCCTAATGAATATGTTTGAAGCTTTTAAAGCTACTTTTTACAGACACCTGTTGCTGACTTGATCTCTGGACTGAGTGATGAATAACTGAGGACATGAGTTCATCAGTGACAGAAATTTGTTACATTTAAGAATCTGTTTCCTCTATTATTTTATTCAGACTCTTACGGTGAATATAATGAGTATACTACTAACCTACGTTCCTACAGAAAGTAGGAAGTACTGCTGTCGCTAACCTAAGCACATTAGAATTATGCTTTTTGTTTTCTTTCAAACTATATATAATCTGTTTTGATGCTATTCAAAATACAGTTGCAAAGTTGTATGTGGGCCAGTGAGTATCAAGAGGCTAAGCACTGTATAGCTTTTGATACCTGAAGATGCCCAATGAAAGACGACGGAGCAGACGACACAAAGCGTCTTTCAGTTAAGATGCCCGTCTCCACGTTGTTGAACTCCAGACGGGTGTGGTCACCCGCCATCTGACCTGTGACGGAGGAGGAAAAAAGAAAACGACATCCAAGAGATGAGCGAGTAGAAAAAGAGGAGGAACACAGCAACCTAACTTTAACCAAACAACAACACAGTCTACTTAAAGTCATGCCGATGGAAACAACCTGACACTGATGACAGTCAAGTTAAAGGAAACAAACACTGGCTAATTAAGAAGAAGTGAAGCTACACACGTATAAATCCTGATTAATATTCTGTTTATTATCAGATTCGAGACATCAAGTGTCATCTCTGTGGATAACTGATGAATGAAAATGGAAAAAGTGTAACAGAAAAACACTCAGCCTCAATTACTACTAAAATATAGCAATGTTTTGGAGAATTTCTATAAATAAATCAATTCTTATTGCAGTTAAGAAACATAATATGAAGTAGAGCTGCAACAGTTTATTAAATAATCAATTACTTGTCAGCGCCAACATTTAATTAAGTTGTTTCGAGTATTGTTAATAAAAATCCCCAAAAAATCTACATTTTCTGATTATAGAGTTGAATGTGATTATTTTCTTGCCTCTTTCCTCCTCTATAACAGTAACCTGACATTTGAAGATATTAATTTGGGTTTGGAGAATCATTTTTTATAGACCAAACAACTAATCGATTAATCAAGAAAGTAATCAATCATGTAAATAATTACGCGCGGCAGCTCTAATATGAAGACTAAAGTATGAATTGAAATCCAAAACGTTTCCAGTGACAAAGTAAAGATAAAAGCGCCGTCGTCATGCCAACAAACAAAGAAAGAAAAAAAAGGGAGGAGATTATATGATCATGCACATCAAAGCATAAAGGGAACAATAAAATGCTAAATAAACAGTTCACAAGAGAGATACCTTCAGCCATGTCGTCATCCACAGTGAGTTTGAAGTTTTTACCGCGGCGGATCACTCGTACTGAGTGCCACTCGTTGTCGTTGAGCTTTTGTCCGGCATAAAGAACCTCAGGGCCCTTGCCTGAAGATGAGGGTTAGTTAGTGAAGGGACGGGGAGGCACAAGCACAAACCAAATCTTTGTTTTCACCGCTAACGCAATTCGATTAACTAAAAAAAAAAAAAAAGATGTTCCAGTGTCAAAGAAGCTTTTTATCCACATTATTTTCTCAGATTGAAGTAAGATTAGAGTGATTGGTGATTAGATTTTAAAGCACCGTCTCACATTTCAAACAAAAATTTGGTTTGTATTTGACAAGAAAGGAAAATAACACACATTCCTAGTGACAGCAATGCTATGAAGAATATTTGCAATTACTCATACAAGGACTCAAATCATGTGAACAACCCAAGTCCTAGAATTATCTCATCTGACAATATCCCACTAGTTTTTTTGTTTTTTTTTAGCTTTAAATGATTCCTACAAGTTACACTTTGACTTTAATACACTTTTAACAGGATTCAATTACAGGAGACAGATTATTATGGCTTCTAACAGAGTTCCACTGGAAGGGTGTGTGTTGAGATTTTCCAGAGTTAAGCAATCCATGGAGGCGACCACTAGAGGGCAATCCAGCCTAACTGAGTTTATCTAAACGCCAGAGCTGCTCCTTTGCAACCCTGAATCTGCTGCATAATGCTGACACCCGGTTTTAAACCCAAATTAGCAAAGCGAGCCTGGTTGGAGTGACTTCTTGGTCTGAATTTTAATCCAGTGGCTCGACTGATGTTGTCCATTTTAAGCTGAATGTATTATTTAGAGCAAGGTAAGTGCAATTTTTTGCTTTTGCAAGTGTAAGAAATTAATATTTTCGGATCTTTGATTTATCTCTGTTTGCAAACCCACGTTTTAAAAGAAATGACATTTGAGAAGATCTACAAGTTGTGATTTTCAAGAATTCAAATGTGTTAGTTTGTAATTGCCACTTCTGTCTTCTCTCCAGCCTGGCGTGTGATTCTGTGCAGCTTGTTAAATATGTTATGGTAATAAAGAGCAAGCTTCACCTAACTTGATTGATAGCATTTAAGCGACACAATTCATTTACAGCTCCACTGTGCATTATCATTAATCAGCAGAACTAGTAATTACAGTAATCATCTTTAGACTTTGAACTTTGCAGCACAGGCGCATATGCATTTAGTTGTAATAATCAAACTAATAATTATGAACAGGCATCTATAATGTGCCACTTACATCCCCTCAACCTTTTGTTCTCCTCTCCTGTCTGGCTACAAAGCTGTGAGCGCTTTAAAAAATAATGAAAAATAAGAGTCCTTTTCATGAGTAAGAGCAAGTCCTCTGTATATCACATTATAGACCTGCAGACTACATTATGTGTAAAAATCAGGACGGCAGGAAAACAAGGCAAGCGAGACACGCTGCGATATATTGCAGTGTAACTGGGAAAACAATATAGCCCATAGAGTCTGACAACATTCAATGAGTAGCTATAGGCACACAGGAGAAAGATTTAGCCCTACTTGCCTGAATTAATTTGAAAAATGGGCCATTTAAAATATATAGAGTACATTAAGTCAGATTTGCATAACTTTGATCTCTGGCTATTACTTTTTCCCCCCCCGTCTTATCTGAGAAATCCTCTTATCAGGCCCCTGCATTCACATATTCCTGCCCTTACATCTAGCACACAGGACATAATCAAACATTGATTGAAGGAAGAAGGCTGCAGAAGAAGAATGTTGACTTACTGGTGTTACAGTTTATCCTGACACAGTCTAGATGGGGAGGGGAGAATAATTGACAGATGAAATCGCATCCTTCAAGGTTACAGCTGCAGACATCCAAGAGCAAGAAAAGCCACCTTCCGGGGACGGTCACATGACGCCGGCGGCCATTTTAACCTAGTTTGCTACTGATGGTCAACATTACTAAAGTGATATTGGAAATCCAAAGTAATATCACTCCAATTCTTCTAATCGCTACTGATGGATACAGTAATATTGCACCAGTACTGGTCAATATTACTGTGCTGGTTAAATTATCTTTAGTTTTTTTGGTTTAACTTGAAACTATGATTATTATTTCACAAACAAAAAAACCATAATGGAGTTTGACTATATGAACAATTTCAAAATGGTCGCTTGCAATTCAATGGCCACATCGATTTTGCAACCCAGCAACTGGAATCAAAGTATTGTACTAGCTGCCTGCTACATGCTATGAAATAAAGTGATTGTTTTATATTTTTTCAATCACATATCAGAAGACTGAGACTTGTATTCAACGTTATACTGAGTAGTGAGAACTATGTTTGTCAGATGCAGGTTGAAATCCATGTGACCAGGCTGGTCATGTGCCGTCAACCGCAACAGAAAAGTGGAAGCAAACAGCCTCGCGCCACTCAGCACCAGCACCGTACAGAGGCCTCTCACAGGATCCTACGTAAGCTACGAAAAACCGTTGATCAAATACATTAGAATTTGAAATGAATTTAGGCTCAAAAGGTAAACGGGAAAAGGAGCACATTGCAAGAAATACGGACTAAAAGATGCTCCATGCGTTTAGCAGCTGTGGTTACAGAGTACATTGCATTCTATAATTAATGAGTTACACTGAGACATTTTGTATGTATCCATATGCTTTCTGTCGGGAGTATCTGTTCCAGGCTCAGTGGTATAAACGCTTGCACTCTACTTAAATGTACCACTTGTGCCACCATCTGCAGGCGCGCTGGGTGCTGTGGCATCGGGCTGTTTGCCAGACGGGCCGCAGGCTCTGGGCCTTTGAAGGGGTGAGTGCCATCTTTGAACAAGGCATAGGAGATGCCAGCTAGACCAAGGGTTACTAATGGACAGAGAGAAACATGAACCTGCTACCATGAGGAAAAGAAAAATCAAAAAAAAGACCCCAGGAATGAACTCATATTGATAAGAAAGCACACGACTAATGCAGCACTATAACGCCTTCCTGCAGCTGTGAATAGATGGCAAAAGACAAATCTAAAAATGTCGCTATTTGAATTAATGCATGTGTCAAAGGGGCCATCTATTAAAATAATTCAAAAAGTGAAATGTTGTGCCTTTTGGGGGGAAAAACAAAATCTATTTGTACACAATAATGAGCGAGACTAAAATGATCTGTTCAAAAGATGTGCTGCAGAGCATGGATAACTTTGTTAAGTGTTAGATTGATGGATATAAAAATCTACAAAGACATCTAAGCATCAAGGCAGAAAAAAACTTACAGTCCAGGCAAGTCAAAAACAAAAACATGCAACTACAAAGACAAACTACAAAATCGGTTTAGTATGTGTTAGGTCCAGCAAAAAAAAAAAGAAGGTCTAGACCATAAAGAAAAGAACAAAAAAACCACAAAAACAGTAAGGCCTCCCTCTGAGGGGAGGCGAGCCAACAGTGACGGCTTATACGATACCTAGGTTGACCGTCAGTTTGACCCGTCCGCCGTCCAGCTCGAGCCGCAGCGTGTCTGCCGACTCACGGGACGTGGCGGCCATGAGCAAGCCGAACGCCCGCTGGGACATGAAGCGCAGGGAGACGTCCTCGGCCTCGGTGTGCATGACGTTTGGCATCACCACCTTCATGTACATGCTGCCATCGTAGGACAGGATCGAAGCCTCTGTTGGAGGACAAAGAAAAAAAAAAAGATTTTGCATAAATATTACATGTTGTCGTTAAAAGTTTCATATCAGGCCTCTTTATGAGCGAATTAACAAAAGTCTCACATGTCTCCAGGATGTGTTTTTCAGTTTTCAGTTCAGAATACTTCAAATTAATTTCACCATGACTGTATAACTCTGGCATTCCAAACTGGATCATTCGGTCTGTTTGTATTGGTTAACTAAAGCGACTGCGAGCTACCACGTAGTCTTACTAAGCTGCATTTCAGTCACTATGTCTGAAAACAGAAATAGAATAAAATAAATAAAATTGATGAAATAAGAACAGCTTCACTGGTGTATTAAAATGCAGTATATGTGAGCGCACAGGTCAAGTTTAGGTTGCACTAAAGCACAACAGGCGACATTAAAACACAAATGCATACACAGTCTTTGTTTATCAGCTTTAAATCTCTCTACCACCACTATTGGATGTCCCTCAGCTTTATGATTTCTACACAGCTCTGACCTGTGGACACATGATCAATGCTCATGGTACGGCTAGCCACACTAGCTGCAAACGTTTGAACATTAAGGATTTTCTGATTGTCAAGGAGACATTGCCATCAAAAATAAACCACTGGATGTTCAGTTCCACAGATGCTGGGAGTGCATGAAGACTCTTGTGTTCACTCTTGCAGCCAACAACAGAACATTTGGTGACACATTTTAGAAATAGCAGAAGAAGCTCTAAAAGGTAAATAACCCTGGTGGGCAGTCTGAATGCCTCACCTGGAAGAAACAGGCAGTGAAGTGGCAGGATTATTGGTTAACTAAATCCAAACTGCATTAAATCTAACTTGTAAGGCGGTGACGCGACATAGTGGAGGAGGAACGGCAGTTTTCCCAGCTTTTATTTGACCCTTTTGACTTTTTAAAACATACAAAACAAACTGATTTTCACCTTATGGAACCTTTATTTTAGCAAACTTTTTTATGTGTAAACAAAAGTAATGTGGGAAAGGCGAGACTGCGTCCATTTGTGTGTGTGCACAAACAAGAGATGCCATCGTAAAGGCACAAAATATGGCAATACATTTTATATGCTTCAGCTCCTTCTGATAGCTTTGTTTATGCTGCCGGAGTTTCCAATAAGATAAGAGAAAAGCGTGTGCTACGAAAGCAAACACACACACACATGCTCGGTGAAGAAAAGCGAAACCTACTTTAAACTTGGAGCATGAATGCTTGCATGCCTCTTATATTTTGTCAATGGGAAACACACACACACATACGTGTCCCACATGCCTCGTTGCTGCCGTATTCAACATCCATCAAGTGACAAGTTACTGTCTGCGAGCGGAGGCTGCTGTGGCACAGACAAGCTGCTCAGAGTGCAGAAAATTAAATCATCATGCTACTTCCCCCTCTCTCTCTCTCTCCCAGACAACTCCCCTTTAGAGATGTTAGTTGGTGCTTTTTACTCTAATCGTGACATCTTGTTTTGTAATATGATGTGCAAAAAATATGCAAAAAAAACAACAACCATACTCTAACGCCAACATTCGCTTTACACACCGAACAACACAAACTATCTTGTTGTTAAATAGAGACAATATGAACAGATATATCACGGGGGCGGTTGAAGGCTTCTGGGCCAGACTATTCTGCTCCTTTCTGTGGAGTTCAGAAAGGAGGAGAGAACCAGAGCGAGTGTGGCGAAGAAAGAGGAAGACTGTCAGCAGACTGGAAGCCTCTTGGGGAGAGAGAGAGACAGATTAAAAAGGGTATCCAACCATGAAATACCTGTTTTGACACCTCAGCTTTTTAAAAGAAAAAAAAAAAGGGAAGAAAAAAAATAGCCCCGTGGCCTCAGAAATGCACCACCATTCGGCTGCGTCGGGGGAAATGCTGAAACTGTAAGGTGAGAGGTTTCCGAGCGTCTCCCCAGAGACGGGTTTGTACATGTAAACGGCGAGATGTTGCGTGTCACGTTCTGCTACTGAATAAGGTGCCATTTCCAGGTCGATTTGCAGAGTGTTTACTCATGCAAAGGGGGAATGAATCATAAGTAATATTGGATTTTTGCTTTGCTTAAATGTCAGAATTCATGCGATATGATGCAATATTCATATATAAGCAGTGGGAAATCACTCAGCCATTCGTCTCGTGAAGCAGCGCTATAAAAGCTCCACATTTATCTGTGTTGCTTTTAGGGGGCCGTTGTAAAGTCCACTCTATGAACAAGCTGTCGACTGTGTGGTTACAGTAGCCTGGAGGATAATGAAACCTTGGCTCACCATTGTTCTGCTCAATTTTAAAACGCGCAAGCTGCATCCCTCTTTGTGTCTCCTGTGCTCTAACACACAAGCATACATATATATATAAAAAAACCACACACATCCACACAGGAGTTCACATGAGCCCATCGGCAGACGGATCCGCTAACTGACAGAGACGCGTATTGATTTGTGAGCCAGGCCAGGTCTCAGGCTCGCAGCGAAAGGGGAAATAAAAACATGACGAGAGACTATCTGCAGCTCAGCACACTGGAGAGAGACAAGGAAGGCCACGATGAGAGACACCCTCTGAAACAAATGTCCACTCTGGAGTCCGAGCCGACTTGGCACGGCGTCCTCAGTAACACTATTTTGGTGCTCATGTGTTTCCAGCTATGAGAGTTGAAACTGGGACTCTGAAAAAAGTAGGCATGTGGATTCTAAAATAACCGGCTCTCAACTTTCTATTCTTTTAATTGCGAAGTCTGAAACATGCAATCAAATGAAATTTTCCACCATTTGTCACAGTCTGTGGGTATAACACACCGGCAGGAGCCAACAGGTGGTAGAAACATACTACAGAGAGACAGCGGAGAGGACATGAATAGCACTAGAGGAATAATGGATCTTCCACTCAGATACATGTAAATAAGAGCAGTGGGCGATTTGAGAGGGGGAGATAGCATCTCTCTTGTTAACCCGACACCCCCTCTTTTCCATTTCCTAGTAGCAGAGAGGTTGTTCAGTTGAATATGCTCGTCTAGTCTGCATTGATCCGTGCACGTAAGACTCTCTGATCCCAACTATGGCTCTGAAATATCAGTAAACCTAACTGTGCTGTGTATTGATAAATGCATGTTGCTAAAGTGGCAGATGGGTTTGTAATTGTGCCTTTTTTCCCCCCCAGATGTTTCCCTTTGTGTCAGCTCCATCTTCAATCTATAACAATCTCTAAGTCACATACTGTAAATACTCGAGTCTATATTATACTGTAGCCGGTGTACTGCTCTAGAGCAAAGTGGCAAGTATCAAAATGCAGCCACAGAGATACACTGAAGCCTGTAGTATTCCCCAAATCTTCTTTTTAATATCTCTAGGATCAGTCAGTCGCATCTGTGCCGCAGAAAATACACTCCAGACAGACCAAACCACCTCTTTAGTTAAATGTTTTACTGGAGACGTGATTACAGATGAACTTTAGATGTTTGGTGTAATCTGGAAGTGGAACGGCTAATGTCAGTCAGGTAAAGTCTATACCATGTGTTTTAAAATGTAGATTAAATTCGATTGGATTCAGGTTTACTGACATCGCACAGAGCGAAGTACAAAGCAGCAGTAAAGTGCATTATTTACAGTATGGTATCTACAGTGTAAACAGAATTAGCATTTTGGACACAATGATATGAATATGTAGATATATGGATACAATATAAGATAAATATTAAAAAATCAACGGGAAAAATAAATAGTGGTATAAACAGTATATTAGTATAAACTGTATGAGCAGCGTAGACAGTATCAGCAGTGAAAACAGTATTAATACTATAAGATATATGCAGTATGTATACAGGAACAGTAGTATGAACACTACAAACAGTGTAAACAGTATTAATACTACAAGATATATGCAGTATATATACAGAAACAGCAGTATGAACACTACAAACAGTGTAAAACTATTTATAGGACATGACCTGGAGCATACACATTAAATAGTGGAAATGGGAAATATGTGCAGACGGTATGAAGTCTTTAAACACGTTTAAAATGCTTAATGTACTCATCCAGTAAAAGAATAAGATGTGTATTTAACCTAATAGCACTTCTGTTAATTCGAAATTAAAATTGCAATTATAATATCATGAATTGGGCTACGCATGTTCAAGCAGGAGGTGCTACCACCGGGTCATCCATCCATTCCTTTGAGCAAACCGCCAATGCCTGGGATCACGAATTCCATGGCAACGTAGCCCACCAACAATGCTAGCACACATCCATCCATCCTCCATTATCTATACACCGCTTCATCCTCACTAGGATTGCAAGGGGGCTGGAGTCTATCCCAGCTGACTCAGGGTGAAGGCAGGGGACACTCTGGACAGGTCACCAGTCTATCACAGGGCCACACTTAGAGACAGACAATTCACACCTACGAACAATCTTGAATCACCAATTAACCTCAATATGTTTTTGGACTGTGTGGGAGGAAGCCGGAGAACCCGGAGAGAACCCACGCTGCACGGGGAGAACATGCAAACTCCATGCTGAAAGAACCGGCAACCTTCTTGCTGCGAGGCAACAGAGCTACCAACTGCGCCACAAGCACACATGGCTTTCAAAAACAGCATCCCTTTGGTCATCTGAAAAAATTCCCACATCTGTTTATTTGCCTCTGTTCAGCTACTTGTTGCTACAAATTTCGCCAAGATCATGCAAAGATAACACACAAATCTGTAAATTTTAACCTAGTAGTATGCCTGACTGCTCCACACCCATCACTGTGTGGCTTTTTTCAAACAGGCACAACTTCACAGCGTCTCTTTTCAGAGGTCTGCTTTGGTGCACAGCATCCTTTTTTTGTGGCAAAGTAGTACCCAGCATGCCTGACTGGCATCGATCAATGTCAGCTGGGATCAGCTGGGTTGTAGTTAAGTGGCTCAAAAGGAGGAGGAAGTTTTCGGTTGACTGAAGTTTTTATAGTTATATTTTATTCCCTCTGTGTGTGTTTTGCTGCTTTGAGA